CGCGGCAGGGGCGGGGGTTGGAGGGGGGGGCGGAGGAAGGCCGAGGAGGAGGAGGAGGAGGAGGAGGAGGCCGGGAGGGGTGGCGGTGGCGTTCAATGCGGCCGCGGCGCTCCCCGGGGAGCGGGCTGAAAGGCCCGCGCGCTCACCAGCTGACAGCGCGTGCTCCGCTCCAGACGCCGCGCCCGGCCCGGAGCCGCTGCCAGCCCGCTATTGTCCCCGCGCTCTAATTAAGCGACGCTCGCATTACCGCGGGCCACCCCCGCGCTCCTCGGTTCCTGTCCTTTCCTTTATCTCCCTCCCACCGCTTCTCTCCTCCCCTGCCTGCCCCTCCCCAACCCCCACCCGAGCATTTAACCCGTTCCCCGCCCGCCCTGCTCGCCCTTTCTTGCTTTCGAGGGGCCCAGTCGAGGACAGGGACCGCCGAGGGGTGAGGGCGGCTGGAAAGTGAAGAGTCAATATATGAGTCAGAAACATGGAGAAAAACTTAAGCCTGACTTATATATTCCCTCCTTCCCCTCGCCCTCCCACCATCTCATGCCCCTTCTCACCAAAAAACAGTCGCAAGCAGTTCAACTGCCACTGGTTGTCTTGAACCCTCAGTGACACTGGCTGTTTTCTGCAGGATGGCAACTGGGCAAGTGTAGATTGTACTTGGTAAAGTGCAATCTGCAACTCTGCCGTTCCACTCCCAACTGGGGTTTGGAACTGGCAACAGCATCGCTCATAGTCTTTCCCTTGAACTTGCAAACAAGCCTAGGAGAGAAATATTGCAAGGTACCCTTTGATAAAAGACCACTCACTTTGTTCAGGTTGAAAGCTCTATTAAAATCAAGAGAAAGGCCTCGTGAAAGTATTGGTCCCGTGTCAGTTGAGATGAAAGAAATTAACCTTCCCCCTGCCCCCCCCACCTTTTTTTTTTTCTGGTCAAGTTGGACCCCCCAGTGTTAGCCATGTCCCTTAGAGAACGTGGTTCAAGTTGCCCGTTGCCAAAAATAATCTTTCTTCAGCTCTCCGTGAAATCAGATAAGTTTCCCAAAGTGTGGCGAGCCAAAACCCTCCACAAATAAAAAGTGGTGGTGGGGTAGGAGGCGAAGACAGAATATAAAGCAAGCTGCTTAAAGTACATAAAACTCGAGAAGGTGCCAGCAGTGTTGCAAAGAACTAACCCGATTTATCTATCTTCATTACTTTAAGAAATGCTGCCTCTTTGTTTGTTTGGGTGATATTAAGCATGCTTAACTTGCACACATAGTTGATTCCTTTGCTAGTATCTTGGATACTTGGATCTGACTTTGGAAGGTAGAAGCTAATTGTTAATAATGGAGAGAAAGGAACCAGTCAGCATGGCGGGAGTGGTCTGGCATATGGGGAATGAGCGCTCAGAAATACTCAATATTCAAGTTTCCAAAATATTAATGAGATTATAGCAACCTGCAGCTTATATGTTACAGCTTGTTAATGGAGTGTAAGGGAGCGAGCTGCCAAACGTTTGTTATGCAAACTCCGTAGCAGAACCTTAAAATGGAAATGTGATTGTACATCTCTTTCAAAGAAATTCCAGCATAAAAAAAAAAAGAGAGAGAGAGAGAAATAGAATGAAGGAAAGAAAAGGGGTTAAAGTTTCATTTGAACTTTGAGCACTCAATTGACCACAGAGTGATTTGACTTTTTGTGCACGTTTGGATGGGTTAGAAAAATTCACCATCGCTTTTCAATCAGTGTGATACCGAATTTCCAATCTGATACTGTTATAGTTTTTTTTTTCTTGAGAATAAACGTAAAGAACTATCTTAAATAAAGATGAGGAATTCCGATTCCTATATACCACCACTAATATTTAAAAGAATAAATATCTGCCTATTATGTTGGTAAACCTCCCCCTGCCCAGTCCCAAGTTTGGATAGCTGTAACTCTTAGCTGTTGATTTTCTCAGAGAAAAATTTGGGGAAGTGTTGACCTGGTGGACAATCCAGTTCTGGATAGTGGCACTTTCTGGCTGTGTGATTTGGGGGCAAATAACGGGCAGCAGTTTCCTCATTTATAAAAGATGTAAAGGAAAATATTCCTGATGCACTTTCTGTTTTGTGGTTTCTCTGAGACAGTGAAAAATATTAACTTTGCATGAGGTCTTTTTCCTCTTTGGTTGACACAAAATGAGTATAAATCCTTCCCCCAAATGAAATATAGATTGTTTAAAGGAAAAAAATAGATTTTTTTTCCTCTTGTCCTTCCCCTACTCAGATTCATAACAGGTAAAAGAATTCTAGGTCCTTTCCTCCCTCTCTCTCCCTCTACACATTCAGGCAAACACGCGGAGCCAAATAACTATAAAAATATGTGTGCTGCCATCCTGCAAGGTCGCAGTGTGTTCATACCTGTTGGGTCTGCTTATTGAGAGCGACATGGAGATGTGTTAGAAGCCATCGCTTGATTTATTCAGCAACTCGAAGAAGATTCCTGATGTTTATCGTGAGCACAGCAAACTCGGTGGGTGCAAAAGGTTATCTAAGCGCAGGTGCATTGTTTCTGTCCTGGAAAGTGTCGCAAGCCGCTGCTCAATTCTGGGACAGAGCTGGTGGCGGCTCCCAGCTTCTCCTGTGGCTTCAGCTAAAAGCCACCGACACCCAGGTGGCCAGTTACAAGCTGGCTCTGCGGTTCTCTCCTGGGGACCACAACCTGCGCTCCTTGGAACATTACTTTTTCTGCAAATCTAGTTTGTGGTGCTTTCCTTTTTTTTTTTTCTTCTAGTGGCTCTCTCCTCTTTTTTGTGATGCTGGGGAGAGAGGAGGATGCGAGAGTGATTAAACGAGCCTCCCTTCGCTTTTCCTTTTCCTGCAATTTGTTATCCCAATGAGGACCTCAAAACATAAAAGACTTGGCTTAAAATCAACGTCTCAAATTCAGCGATGTTTATCCAGCGGAATGTCGCTGAATCTTTAGTTTTTTTTTTTTTAATCTTTAGTTTAATAAATAGTTCTACTCTCATGTTGGCCAATCAAATTTATTTTTTTACAGTTCAGCTTTCTACTCTCTCCATATACATACTATATTAGCTTTTCTAAAACCTATGAGCGTGTGACCCAGAACAGGCTTTTCCTTAGTGAGGACATTTGAGATGACAGTGACAGCACAGCTTAGTTTCTGCAACTGACTCAAAAATGTAGTTGGATAATCTTTGCTATATGGAAGCTAATTCAGAAGGACAAAATAAAGATGCACATTAGCTTCTATATTAATGGGAAGCAGCAGAGTTATTTGAAAAGAGAAAAATGAGTGTAGTTCAACCATTTCCTAGGGCAACTGCTGGCTCCTCATTTTTGAATCCATGAGCCCAATTCTGCTTTCCCTTCAAGTTCTTTCCATTGTTCTCTTTGCTTCTTCAGGTCCCCGTACCCCAAAATAAGAGAGGAAGAGAGACAGGGATAGGAGGAGAGAGAGGGAGGGAGGGGAGGGGAGGAGAGGAGAGTCTGAGAGCACACTTGTGCTGTGCATTTGAGCTGCAAGACAGCTTTCAGCTTGGCTAGTTTTTATGAGTGGAAATAGCTAACCTTGGTAAAGTTAACTACTCCTGGCTAGATCCTGGGAGACCTGAAACGAGTTCCTCCCCTTGCAGAGGCTCTCGGGGCTAGGAGTAAGGGAGACTGGAAGGATCCTGGCTGTCATAGAAAGGCAAAGCTGTGCTGAAAATTTGAGAAAAGTCTTATGTCATAATGTAAGTATTATGAACTCACAATTTAAAAACGTTTTTTTTTAGAGATGGGGTCTTGCTATATTGCCCAGGCTGGTCTCAGACTCATGGCCTCAGTAGTCCTCCAGCTTCAGCCTCCCAATGTGTTGGGATGACAGGTGTGACCCACTGTGCCCAACCTTAAATTCATCTTCAATAAAAGACTTAGTGCAAGTCTTCAAGGTCATTCAAAAACTATTTTCAATGATTATACTGGAATAGAATAAATGACAAATAATAGCTTCTTTTCACGTTTATTTTCATCATTTGCAAAAGGAAATACATAAAACAATGGCAGTTGGCTTTGCTAAATTAAAATAAAATGATCTCGAGTAGAAAATGTAAAAAAAAAATGAACCAAGATAAGTAGAAATGGTAGCAAACACTCAATAATAAATAAGTTTTCTAACGTTAACAAGGCAAAATAAAATCGACCAAATGCTTTTGACACTACTAGATGTGGTTTTTTTTTAATTTTCATTTTTTTTAAACAAACATTTGCAAAGAGCTTAAGAATGATAAGTGGCTGTGTTTAAAAATTTAAAAACAACAACAACAACAACAAAAACAACAAAAAAACGGGTCTGCAATTGGCAGTTGAATTTTTCCCGGAGCCGCAGCTGCAGCGGCTGGTAAAGTGCGTGCGACAAGTTTCCTAAAAGACGCCAACATCCTCGCGATCGGACACACATACTGGGTATGTTTGGACAACACATAAACCTTAAAGTTCCCCGCTTTATTATTATTATTTTTTTTTAACAATTCCATAGTCAAAAGTTATGTACTTTGGAAGCATTAACTCTGCGTTTCACGATGCATTTGGGGAACGGACTGCAGAAGACTCACTGTGCCACGCGCGAGCGCACGCGACACCCGGGGGCGGGTGCCCAGCGCATAAAATAAATTAAACCCAAACCAGCGACAGAGAGGAAGATGCGACGATTTAGCAGCGTATTGGCAGCAGGGAACTAGAATAATGGTGCCCTGGGTGGGTGCGAATCATTAATGCCGCATCTGTCTACACGGGGAGCAGAAGCGGGTGGGAAGGACACAACTTTAACAGGACGTTTTCACCAGTGTGGACCGTTAGGGAGTTGGGGACAGCGGCGGCGTTTGCAAATCGCCGGATGTAGCTGCCATCGGACGCCAAGTCGCTGCTACACAGCGACCCGCCGCGGAGCAGACACTGAAGGGTGCGGGGATCTTTAACCGCGAGGGCACCCCCGCGCGCGCGGGGACCGGGCGGTTGTGTTTCTGCCTCAGTTTCCAGGGCTGTCACCTTCCTAACTCGCCTCATCCGAGTCACTGTAGTGGGAGTGGGGGGAAAACTCCCCGTCGCTTCTGTGGGACCGGGGAGAAGTTTTGCTACTTTCCTCCTGCGCCGGCTGCAGGATGCCGCCGGGCAGAGAAGGCGACAGACTCTTCTGCGCCATCATCGCGGTCAGCGCGCTGTCCTCGAAAGCCGGGAAGTGCAGGGCGTCCAGCTGCACCGAGTACCCGCCCGCCGCGGCCGGGCCGGGGAAGCGAGTCCGGCAGCTCCCGGGCGCGGCCGGCCGCGGGGCGCCTGCGGAGGCCGGCGGGGCCCCCGGCGCGGTCGCCGCGCCCGCGCCACCGTCGTACGCGGTGGCGGCAGGGGCGGCGGCGGCGCGGGCGTGGTGGTGGTCACTTTTGCAGGCGGCCGGCGGCGGCGGCGGCTGCTCCCCGCCGCTGGGCGTCTGCAGCAGCTCGGACAGGGCGTTGATGTAGATCTGGGCCATCTGCAGGGTCTCGTACTTGGACAGCTTTTTGTCGTTGTTGAAGGACGGGATGACGTTGCGCAGCTGGTCGAAGGCGTGGTTCAGCCCGTGCATCCTGCGCCGCTCCCTGGCGTTGGCCGCCAGCCGCCTCTGCTTCTGCACCCCGTTCACCTGCTTGCTGGACGGGGCCCGCTGGCGACCGCAGCCCAGCTCGTCCACCGCCACCGCGCCCTTCAGCTTGCACAGCTGCTCCCGCACCTTCGCCGGCCCGGGGCTCTTGCCGCCGCCGCCCCGCCTCGCCAGCTCCGCGCGCCCGTCCGCCGCGTCCCGGGCCGCGGGGGCGTCGGGCGCGCCCAGCTCGGGGGGCTGCAGCAGGTACTGCGCGGCGGCGCGTGCCGCGCACATGCCCTGCAAAGCGGGCGCCAGCCAGGCGCGTGGGTCGGTGCCGTCCAGGAGGGCCAGCTCGGGCGCGTACGCGGGCGGCTCCCGCGCCTGCAGGCTCGCGGGCGGCGGCGGCGGCGGCGGGAGCTGGAGCGGCTGGGCATGGCGGTGGCGGTCCCCCAAGTCCTTCGCTTCAGCCCACTCTCCCGCATGCAGCAGGCGGGACATCGCGCTGCGGAGGCCGGGCGCTCGGGCTTGGAGGACGCGCCGGCACGCCAGAAAGAAAAAAAAAAAAAGCCCTTCCCAGGCAGGTCTCTTCTGCAACGTCTTATTTTTTTTCCCCTCCGGTGCCCTCCCCCACCCACTCGGAGATCACACACCAGGTCGCGTGCAACGAAGCTTCTCCGGTTGCCGAAGGCGCTGCGCCCCTTTAAAAAGCGGCACGCGCCACCGAGTCCCCCCCGCGCGCGCCCAGCCCCCTCCTCGCGCCGGTCGCGTGTCCGCTCAGCCAATGGAGGGCGCGGCGGGCGCGTGCGGGCGGCCAATCGCCGAGTCCGTGCGCCCGGGGAAAGTTCCTGTGTGCACGGGACTCCGCGACTGCTCAGGCTTTTTTTTTTTTTTTTTTTTTTTTTTTTTTTTTTTTTTTTTTTTTTTTTTTTGGCCTCCTCTGTCCCTCTTTTAAGCTCGTCAAATTCATATGTTAATGGCAGGCCTGTAATCCGACGCCCGGGTGTGTCGCCGCCCCCGCGGCCGGGGTGCGGGAGCGGGTGCAGGCGGCGCGGGCTCCGGGCCGGTGCGGGTGCAGAGGGGGGACGGGGGACGTGGCGGCGGCAGGTGGCCCCGGGCCGGGCTGGGAGCCCCCACTCCGCTGCCCACGCGCTTAGACGTCTCTCCTATGTAATATGATGTGTGTGCACATGTATGTAGGCGTGTGCAAATCTCTCGCGCATGTCCGTAAACATATAACCCCCAAAGGACGTCTGTCATTTAGAATTAAAAGGGGGGGGGACAGTGTCTCAGGACATGCTTCTTCATTGGACCGCGTCTTTTCCTCTTTTGCGTCTGCTCTCTCAGTTCGACTTGGGTATGTGGCCTTTCTTCTCAATGGGGAGTGGAGTTGTGGCATCTAAGGCGACAACTCTGGGGGCCCCCAATCCAATCCGTCCCCCTGGCCCCGCGCCCTGCGGCCAAAGAGGGTTGTCGTCTGCAGAGAGCTCTCCGCTGATTGCAGTTTTAGGGCAGGGGTATCTCGCAGTATTATGCAGACTCTCAATTCACACAGTAGGACTCCTTACTCAGTGCTCAGCCAAAGGAAAATGCCAGGCGCTCGCGATCCTAGCAATTCCTACCACTTTTGAGGTGCAGGTAGCCCGGAGTCGCCTACCCTTCTGCCTGGGGGAGCCTTGGCTCGCTCACTACGCTCTTAGCTTCTAGCTGCTTCTGCAAACCCTCAGAAACTGAAGTTTAACTTAGCATCCCCCCCCACTCCGTTTAGTTTTAGGGTGCGCGGTCCCCTAGCATAAAACCCGGGAGGGAGGTCCTTGGCGAGGCTGGGACCCCAAGTCCCAGGTAAGGACCCGCTTTGGGTCGCTAGAGCCTGGCCTGGCTTGGTCACAGCAAAGAGCCAATCAGGAAGCTCCTTGGCCCGGGCACGCCCGGGTGCTCCAGGCGCGGTCCCCGGGGCGCGGGAGCGCCACAGCCAGCTGGTGGCTTCTGCTGTTTCTGTCTTTCGCACTGGTTGTCGTCTCCAAAGGAGTCTCGTCCTCTATGAATGATGGCCAAAAGAAGAGCCAGCAGAGATAGCTCCCTGGAGTCTGTCTTGGCAGTGTCCAGAGGGGGCTGAAAGTTGTCACTCATATGAGCAGGGACTTGATCTCACCTGCCATCTAGACCTCGTTGGACAGGAGAATTTCAGGGACCGGACTGAATTAGTTGTGTGTATATAAATTTAAGCCCTATAAAGATATAGGAGGGTAGAATAGAGTGCTAAAATGAAAATGATGCTTAATTCTTCCATCTGTTCTTCTTCAACCTTCTAGGGACAATCCTGGACTGTCCCAACTTAAAAACCAGAAAAGTGAGAGCTGGATTCTGATGCAAATATTTAGTTCTGCTGAAATAAATATGTTAAATAAAGGCATGTAGAAACAAAACATAAAGAGAAAACCTCCCAAAACCTAATCTATAAACCATTGATGAAAATAAAGAAAAAGAAAAAGTAAAATTCATCCAGTGTCTTCTGGGGAGAGAAAATTCTCCCATTTTTTGGTGATTGGACTGGGTACTGTTGAAATCAACCAATGATGCTGTTACTATAAAATAGTACTACTACATAAAATGTACTATTTGGAAAAGTAATTGCTAGTCGCTGTGGGTGCCGAAATGGAACTTTTAGAAAAATGATTAACTGTCTTCTATGTATGTTTGGCAGTGTTAGCAGTTAGAGCCTGGAAGTATCAATTGTCTATGTTGCATTTGATTCCTCAAACATAGACTTTTCCCAGCTGTTATCAGCTCAAAGTTACTCCTGGAATTCTTTCACATAATGTCACTCTCAAATGTGTCAGATACCCAAATTTCCCTTGGGCTTGCATTATCCAAACTTTGTATCTGTACTTTAAATTTGACTATATAACTGTAAAATATTCACTTCCCTTTGAGTTTAAACAGCTTTGTGGGCTGTAGTCAAATATTTGCTGAATACATAGACTGTTGTTCCTAAATTGCCAACTTCACATATAGTCATTAGTATTATTACTTTTTTTTGAAGCAAATGTCAATACACAGGTCAGTAAATTTGAGTGTTGCAGTAATGTGAGAGGATGATAAGAGTTTGGTAGTTTATGGCGAAATACATTTCTTTGGCCCTTAAAATAAGATAAATAGGGGGCTATTTTTCTTCCCCTCCCTTCTCTTTTTTCTCTTCTCTTAGGTGGGGCTGGGAAGCTTGGTACCTGAGCTGGGGCAAGAGGACACAAGGCTCTGGGCTTGGGGTTGGATCCTGCATAGAGTGATCAGCGTGTTCTTAAGGAGGGTTTGTGGTATGGGGTGTCAAAACACCACATAGAGTATGTGAGGGGCTGGATGGTGGCAGCAGGAGTCCAATATGAGGTCCCTTAACAATTGGCAATGATGGCAAAGAATGAAGCATTTATCCTATTATTTCCAGATGAACTGTATTTCAGAGTAATCAAACAGACTTAGGTAATGATGGAATTATTTTTCCAGAATAATTCCATATAATAAAGGTAGAAGAAATAAAAGATTCAGAACATTTTGCAATTCCTAATGAAACATTTTATCAAGGCAATGATTAAGAATGAATGATACAATTAGATCATAGTTTGTTGGGGAACTTTTACAATGCAGGAATTGGTCTGTCACCCCTTGAAACTACTACAGATCAATCTTAACGTCTTTTAGGAGAACATGATATCATGTGCTTCTCAGTTTCATGCATTATAAAGTACACAGACCCCTATGAAGTATTCTTTAAAAAAAGAAGAAAGTAAATATGAATTTATCAATAATTAAGCCTTTGAGTTAACCTCTTGTTTACCGGAAATATGGGGATATCATAGTAAGTTAAATGATACCACAAGGATGCAAAAAACAAGCCCATACTATGAAATGTCTTATAGAACACATGTTCAATTTCAATAATTCTGTGACATTAAAAAAAAAAAAGGAGGGAAGAGATTGCTCTTGATTAAGACAATCTTAAAAAAAAAAGGGCATTTTTAGGTTCCGGTTTTTAGTGCACCTTTTGGCCTTTTTTTGGTTTCGGTTTCAACCAACTTACCATTAAAGGACTTTTTTTTAAAGGCCGTTTGTTAAATTTTGATTTTGACTTCGTTTTTAATTGTTGCCATTGTTTTTTTTTTTTTTTTTTTAGGTTCTATAAAGACAATGTGATTATTTAGGAAGCTTGAGATGTACACAGAAACATAGGGGTGAAATGACATGAGGTCTATGATTTGCTATTAAGTATTGCATCATCAATATTAATAATATGGAAAATAAATAATGACTCAAATGTAGAAAAATCTTGATAATTGCTGAATATGGTGGTGTAAAGTTTCACTAGACTGGTAGCACTACTTGCACATGAAAATTTTTACAATGAAAAATTGATAAAAATCCTCTGGCTTTTCATTATTTGCTCTTATCAACCACATAGTTTAGTTCAGTATTTAAACCCCGGTGATCTGCTCTTAAGCTATGTTTCTAGACTAAGATTTTATTATTCCATTAACACAGTGATTCTCAAATTGTCATCCAAAGATGGTCTACCTGTGTGACAATCACTTGGGAGGTTTATTAAAAAGGCAAATTCCTGGGCCCCTATCAAGTCTACCAAATCAACTTTGTGCACAGGGCCCAACATCTGCATCTTACATAAGCAGCCCAAGGGATTCTTAGGCATCACCCAGTTCGTTCTAGAATTTTCTCTGTCCTATATTAAGCTACTTTATGGTTCTCAGAACGTGTATTATAATTTCTGCTACCACAAATAGGCTAATCCAGACATCGATTATCCAGCCCTGCTCATTAAAATGTAACCTAAGTTTCAAGGTCTAGATCAAATGCTACTGCCTCTAGGAATTCTTCCCTAGGCTTCTCTGGGAAAGATAAATGGGAGCACCAATTATCCTTCAGCAAGGAGGTGAATGCAAAGTGTCTTTTGGGTCAACTACTGCACTGAAAACTTGTTAGAGAAGTTCAAGGTTTCATTCATTATGGTTCCCAAGTTTATCAAAGATTCTTTGACCACCAGGAACTGTAAACTTCTTCCTGACTTCATACTATCCGTACTAGTTATCTATTGCTGTATAATAAATTTCACCCCCAAACTTTTCTTTATTTGCTATTACATACCAAACATCTTCCCATCCTGGGATCTTCACACACATTGTCTACCTGCTATACTCTTCCTTTCTTGTCTGTTCTTTTCTTGTCTAGTAACCTCTTATTCAACTTTCTGGTCTTACTTCCTAAAAGAAGCATTTTCTGATCCCCTGGAAGAAGGTTGGTTCCCTGTTTGACACTCTTTTTTTTTTGGTCTTTTTTTTTTCATTGTCCATCTTTTTTATTTTTTATTATTTTTATTTATTTAATTTCTTTATTTACTTTTTATTTCAAAATACGAAGAGGGTACAAATGTTTTTGGTTACATGGATTGTTTTTGTAATGCTTGAGTCACAGCTGTAGGTGTGCCCACCACCCAA